CTCTCTCTCTCTCTCTCTCTCTCTCTCTCTCTCTCTCTCTCTCTCTCGTTCTTTCGTTTTCTCTCTCTCTCTCTCTTTCTCTCTCTCTCTCTCTCTCTCTCTCTCTCTCTCTCTCTCTCTCTCTCGTTCTCTCTCTCTCTCTCTCTCTCTATCTATCTATCTATCTATCATTCTATCTATCAATCTATCTATCTATCTCTCTTTCGCTCTCTCTCTCTCTCTCTCTCTCTCTCTCTCTCTCTCTCTCTCTCTCTCTCTCTCTCTCTCTCTCTCTCTCTGTCTCACACGCTTTCCCTCTCCCTCTCCCTCTCTCCCCTTGTCCTCCATCTTTCTCAATCTATTTATCTATCTCTCTTTCGCTCTCTCTCTCTCTCTCTCCCTCGCCCTCTCTCCCCTTGCCCTCCATCTTTCTCTCTCGCACTTTCCCTTTAACGATAATCATATTGCCGATAATAATAATTAAAACGATAATGGTTATGATCGTGACGAAGATTAAAAAAAAAGAAGAAGTAAAAAAAAAAAAACGACATCATAAACTGAACCAAAAAGAAAAAAAAAGGCCACTTTAGCGAACGAAGGTTTTCTTACTCTCCTGCTTTCTTATGCCATGACACTTTGCCTTCATCAGCAGACACAGCGCCACCTGTGCCTGCGATGAAAGGCTGGGCTCGCCGGCGGTATGGGCCATTGGGCTGAGCCGCTCGGGGTGGGGGGCAGTAGAGGGGTGGGACTGGGGTGGGGGAAGGTACTGGTGGAGATCACTCAGCAGATCGAGGGGATTAGTATCAGCTTGGAAAAGATATATATATACATATATATATATATATATATATATATATATATATATATATATGTATATATATATTCATATTTATAGATACATATATTGAATACACACGCACACACACACACGCACACACACACACACACATGTATATAAATATATATATACATATATATATATACATATATATATATACATATATATATATACATATATATATATATATATATATATATATATATATATATATATATTTATTTATTTATCTATTTATCTATTTATTTATTCACACACACACACACACACACACACACACACACACACACACACACACACACACACACACACACACACACACACATACACAGGCACACACACACCCACATATATATGACTAGAGCTCTGGACTCCGACCCTCGTGGTTTCCGAGTTCAATTCCCCGTCGCGGCGGTCGCAAAACTGTCTGTGCTCTGACTGAGAAAACGACATATTGCCTTGAAAAGTCAAACGCAGGTGTCGTAGGAAGTCACCGCTGTGGTATAAGTGTCAACGCGCCGAACCGCGGTTGATTAGGAAGGGCATCCAAGCAGTGTGTGTGTGTGTGTGTGTGTGTATGTGTGTGTGTGTGTGTGTGTGTGTGTGTATGTGTAGACACACACACACACACATATGTATAGATAGATAGATATATCTATGTATATATGTATATATGTATATATATATGTATATATGTATATATGTATATATATAATATATATATATATAATATATATATATATATATATATATATATATATATATATATATATATACTTATATCTATCTATCTATAGATGTGTGTGTGTGTGTATCTACACACATACACACAAACAAACACACACACTTATCTATAGATAGATAGATATACCTGTGTGCGTTTCGCTTCACGTATTTCCCAGCCGTTCCTGAAATCCGACAGATCCCCCTCCTCTCCTTTTCGCCCCGGTCGCTGCAACAGAGAGGTGCTCCTCGATCCCAGCGGAATCTCGTTGTGATTGAAAACCTCTCCTTGAATATGGTTGTGTAAAAAGAAGAAAGAAAAAACGAAAAAGAAAGAAAGAAAGAAAGAAAGAAAAAGAAAACATTTTGAAGAATGGGAATGGGAATTGTTCAAGGTTTGGTAGTTAGTCAGTTGTGGTTAATTACTATGAAGTGAAATATTCATAGATACTATCCTTGGTGATCATTGAGGGAGCGACATTTTGCATATGATGGTTACGTCCAGAAATCGTATCACAGTTCTGAAAGGTTATATACATATATATATATATATATATATATATATATATATATATATATATATATATATATATATATATATATATTCACAAGTGGTATTATATGGGTAATAATTCATCTATTATAATTATCGATGAAATAACTGATTTTCTTTGAAGTAATCAAAAAAATACAAAAATAAAAAAGACAGGAAAGAAAACTAAAATAATAAAAACCACTTCTATTTCACTAGAAGTAACCCCCCCAAAAATAATAATAATGGAAAAATAATACAAAACGAAACAAGATCTAAAAAACAAAAACAAAAAAAAAATCACAAACCTTTCCCAAACCGACTAAACCCAAGACTTCATTTTATCCAGACGAAACCCAAGTCCCAAGAACAAAAAGTGCCCTACGACATAACCCAAACCTCCCCCCCACACCCCCCCAAAAAAAAAAAAAAAAGGCGATCCACGAACAAGGGAGCTAGACCGAAAACAACGATGACGAGAAAAGAGAAACATGTCAGAGACTCGTTACAAAAGAAAGAGCAAAGTAAACGTTTTCTCCCCGAGCGTAGATAACGAGAAATCTAAAAGAAAACTGTTCTTTCGCGCGCTCGAGGATTGGGGATGTGGACCGGAGAGGGAAAAGAAAGACAGGTTGGAAGAAAGGAAAAGGGGAAGAGGGAAAATAGTTAACATACATACATATATATGTATATATATATATATATATATATATATATATACATATATATATATATATATATATATGTATATATTATTACGGTTGTAGTTGTTTGACGAGATTATATCTTAGACTAGGGGAATGATGTAACTACACATCCATAATAAAGTTTGATGCAATAGGCTTAACTTCCATGCATAATGATATTTCATATCTTTTCCAGGTTCTTTGATTATATTTAAATTATTAAGTTTGTATTAGAATTATATATGTAACTTAATTTAGTGTATTCAGATGTTAAAACTGTATATAGATTTACTTAGTTTAGTCTTTATTTCTTTTTATTTTACTTTCTTATTTTACTTTCATGGAAATGTATAAAACGCAAGTAATGTTTCATTTTTATTTATCAAAACCAACCCATTACCAACATTTAACATTACCCGAAACCATCACACAAAAAAAAAAAACATGAATAATTCACTGTAAATAAACACAACACACAACACCATCAATGTTCTCGTTGTAGATATGATGTATATATATCTTACGATTTCTGTAGTAAACGTCACAAGATTCTTGGGGTCACAGCTGAGGAGTAGCGAGGTTAGTTGCTCGAGCTGCCCAGTTCAATGGCTGAACAACTCTTGTTTCTTCCGGCTTTCTTACCGTCTTATATAGGCCTACTTGGCGGGTTCGCAGGGCAGCGTCTTGAGAAGTAGCGCGGAGGTTCGGATGGCTTGTTCTCCAACGAGGTCGTTTGGGGTCAAGACGTTTGTTTTTCCATTTAAGATTTCGCGACGATAACTCGGCAATTGCAGACGGAAAGGCGGCAGTTGTAGCACCTCCCCCTTTAAATCCTCGGTAGTTCTGACGAACGAGGAGGTCGTCGGCGGGATCTTCTGACGTTGGAAATTCTCTTGACAGGCTGTCAGCGATGACGTTATCTACTCCCTTGATATGTTTGACGACGAGGTTGTACTGTTGAAGTAGAAGAGACCATCGAAGAATGCGTTGATTTTGATTCTGCATGCGGTGTATGAACACTAGAGGGTTGTGGTCGGTATACACCACCACAGGCTGACGGCTATGGAGGTAGCAGTCGAACTTCTTCAGGGCTAATACCAAACTTAAAGCTTCACGTTCTATGGTAGAGTACTGCATCTGATGTTTCTTCAGCTTTGCCGAGAAGTATGAAACTGGATGCATCACCCGAGTATTTTCATCCTCTTGTAGTAGCACCGCCCCAACACCATGGCCACTAGCATCAATCTGCAGACTGAAAGGACGAGAGTAATCGGGAGTTCTCAGCACCGGTTCCGAAGAAATGAAGAGCTTCAGTTTATCAAAAGCTTCAGTGCACTCGGGAGTCCACTGGAAAGCGCACTTAGAGCTGGTCATATCCGTTAGAGGCGTAGCTATAGACGAGAAGTTACTGCAGAAGCGTCTGTAGAATCCCACCATGCCCAAAAACCTCATGAGAGATTTCCGAGTTGTTGGAGTGGGGTATGCCTGGATTGCTTCTACGTTGGCCTGCTTGGGTAACGTCCGTCCCTGACCCACAATATGGCCCAAGTAGGTCACGGTGGCACTGCAGAAAGTAGATTTGGCCAAGTTGATGGTGAATCCAGCTTCGTCTAAGCGGGAGAACAGAGAGCGTAGCCTACGGATATGAACATCCCATGAGTCGGAGATTACAAGTAAATCATCTAAATAAGACTTAACACCTTCAAGACCCTGAATGGTATAATTGATTGCTCGTTGAAAGGTGGCTGGTGCATTACACATACCAAAAGGCATTACTGTATAATTATACAAACCAAAAGGAGTTATAAAAGCAGATATGGTTTTAGCATTATCTGTTAATCCTATTTGATAGTAACCTTTCTGCATATCAATTTTGGTTATGAATTTGGCTTGTCCTATTGAGTCTACAAGTTCTTCAATTAAAGGAAGAGGGTAGGAGTCAGGTATAGTTACTTTGTTTAACTTTCGATAGTCTGTACATAATCTATTGGTACCGTCAGATTTTGGCACTAGCAGTGAGGGTGAAGCCCATGGAGAATTACTTGGTTCAGCTAAACCATGATCAAGTAGATAATCTACTTCCTTCTTCATAACAGCTTTCTTCTCTGGACTGAGTCTATATGAACTTTGCCTAATGGGTCTTACCTCGGGAGCGAGTACAACATCATGTAGAGTATGGCCACAAAACCCTGGGTTATCAGCTGTTACCTGAGGAAAATCTTTCAGTATTAGATATACATCATTTATCTTTGAGGCAGGCAAGTAATTTAAATATTTATGAAGATTAGCTATTATCTCAGAGTTATGTGGATTATGAGGAGCTGGGATTTCTAAGTTATCAGTCTCCTCAATATACTCATTAGACATTGAAGTTATGGAAGATTCATGAGGAATCATACATGCAATAGATTTGCCTTTGGCTAAGTCCTCCTTTGGCTGCCTGTCAATATAGGACTTGATTAAGTTGATATGTACCAACTGGGTATCTTTACGTCTATCAGGAGTTTGAACTACATAATTGTAATTAGAAACTTTATGGGAAACAACATAAGGTCCAGTGAATTTACTCTTTAGAGGGTTTCCTGGGATAGGAAGGAACAGTAAAACCTTATCTCCTGGAGAGAATTCTCGAATTTGAGATTTTAAATCATGAGAAAACTTCATTTTGATTTGGGCGTTTTGAAGATTAGAGAGCGCCAATTTCCTTGCCTCTGATAACTTAGTTCTAAGATTATCTATGTAAGATACCACGGTTTGATTAGGGGGAGGTGAAGAGTCTGAAAACCACTGATCTTTAAGAACTTTAAGTGGACCTCTAATCTGTCTTCCATATAGTAATTCAAATGGAGAGTATCCAAGTGATTCTTGTGGACATTCCCTCAGGGCAAACAGAAGAAAATGAATGTTCTCATCCCAGGAATTCCCTGTTTCTAAGCAATACTTTTTAAGCATAGATTTTAGAGTCTGGTGAAATCTCTCAAGGCAACCTTGTGACTGGGGATGGTAAGCTGTTGACATCTGTTGCGAGATACCTAACAGTTCTAAGACTTTTTGAAACAAGTCACTTGTGAAATTACTGCCTTTATCACATTGAATTTCTTTAGGGATTCCAAATGAAGTGAAAAAATGAAGTAGACATTTTACAATGGAACTAGCAGAAATATTCTTTAAAGGGTAAACCTCTGGATATCTTGTAGCAGTATCCATAATTGTAAAGAGATACTGGTTCCCTTTCTTTGTTTTAGGCAGTGGTCCTACACAGTCAATTACGATTCTTTCGAATGGACCTGAGACTACTTGAATAGGATGTAGAGGAGCTTTTGGAATTATTTGATTAGGCTTTCCTCCAACTTGACACACATGACATGACCTGATAAACAATGTAATATCTTTCTTCATACCTGGCCAATAGAAATGTTGAAGTACTTTCTTGTAGGTTTTTTGAATACCTAAGTGACCTGCTAGACCATCATGTGCAAGTTTCATGACTGATTCCCGAATTGACAAAGGAATTACGACTTGATGTACTTCTGACCATGTATCTAAAGCACGGAGTTCAGGAGGGCGGAATACTCTCATTAATAGTCCGTCATGATAATAAAAACCAGGGACCTTGTGATCTTTAAGGCTGTCTGAAGCAACATGTCTGCACTTAGCAAGAGAGGGATCATCGTTCTGAGCTGCAATTAGCTTAATTCGGGTGATCTCTTGTGAGATCAGTTTATCAACTGGATTAGGTTTTTCTATAGGGGATTTATTTAGCTTCTGAGAACGAGTAACAGCACATACAGGGAAAATATGAGGTTGTTTCTGATCCAGTTCTTTAGTTGGGCTATAGGGTAAAGGCTTAGCAACAACATTAACTGTAGGGTACACTAATTTCCCTGCTAGATCATGTCCCAGAATTAAACTTATTCCCTTTATAGGAAAAGCCTTTTCTGTCACAGCTATCTTTACTTCACCTGATACAAAATCAGAACTGAGAAAAATATTTGCTAGTTTATAACTAATCTTTGAAGTTAAGTCTTTAACAAGAACTTTTTCACCTGTATATTTTGTCTCAATTCCAGGTAAAGCAGACCTAAGAATTATACTTTGAGCAGCTCCAGTATCCCTAAGAATGAGTATGGGATATGATTTACTCATTGAATCAAGAGAGACAGTTCCCCGATATTTAAAATCACTGAATGGATCTGGAGAGTTTACATTTGTAACACTTGACACTGGCTTTGGTTCAAAAGCTTGAATACTTGGATTTATGAATGGTCTTACATTTATGCCAGACTTTCTACACTTTGGGTCTTTGCACTTGTCTATGGTATGACCTGCTCGCTTGCAATAAGAACAAAAGTTTAATGGAGTAATTTTGCCAGCTTTACCACCATTAGCCCCAAGGTTTTCACCAGAGGAGGACTGTACATAAAATCTAACCTTGTCTACCTTACCCAGCTGTGACCTTTTCAAAAGCGCAAATGAATCTGCTATTTGTGCTGCTTTAAGGAGATCTGTTTCACCCCTCTCCTCTATATGCTTAAGAATATCGAAGGGTAACTTTCTTTTACTTCCTCTAAAATAAGAAGATCTTTTAATTGTGAGAAAGATTTAGTGGAAGTTGAATCTAGCCATTTGTTAAACAATCTAGCTTTCTCAGTAAAAAAATCAGCAAAGGTACTATGAGGAGACTTAGTAAGACTTCGAAACTTTTGTCTGTAGCCGTCAGGTGTGATTGCATAAGCATC